GTATATATATATATATATGTATATATATAACTTTTTTTTTTTTGCTCACTTTTTTCCCCCCCCTCCCGCCGCCACTTTTTTTTCTGTCTCAGCCTTGTGTACATCGCGCCTCTTTGCAACCAAAGCACATCCTCAGGGTGGGGGAGCAAAACTACACACAAAGGAAAGAGGGGCACATCTGGCGTTGTTTGAGTTGGCATGCGTTTCTTTGTTTTGCTTTGGGGTCTGTTGCTGGTCTATCTCAGTCTGGACGTTGGGAGAATATGCCGCGCCGCAGACGAAGCACCAATGTACAGGGTGGAGCAGCAGGTCTCCAGTGATTGGGTGACGCGGTCCATCACGTTTCTTTCCTCAGGATACGCTGTGGAGGAGGAAGTTTTATTTCAAAGTGACGTCAATCTTTGTGTCAGGGCTTTGCACGGCAGAATCCGAGGTGTTACTGCAGAACCGTGGGATAGGTACGCATCGTTACTCAACATATACGCCGTTTTTCAGCCGTCAGTGGAGTCGGGTGCGGCTTCAAAGGAAGACTTAAAGGGTGGGCGAAACAATCTTGGATGCTCGATAACCCTCACCTATCCACCTGTCGTAAGTTGTGACCTGAACGCCGTCTTCAGATTGGCAGCTTACGCCCCTGTCCAGGACCTGGTTGTGGTCTTGGTAAACCAGCCCAAGGCTGCGGTGGGCGTGGGTGGAAAATCCATTGCGATCTTCACCAACGATCCATTGTTTATGCCATTTTTTGTTATTCGTGAACTAAGCAAAGCCGTTACCTCACTAGGCTCAGAGTATGCTTTTGGAGTAGAGGATAAACATGTTGTGCAGGTACCCAACTGCGCCCCATCCATTGAGGCGGCGCGTGCAGCGTGGGGTCATTGGATAGACCAAGGGCTGGCCGATGAAACACCATTGAAAGGTTGTTTCTTTAATAATTATTACCGTCCGACTAGGCAAGATTGTATAATGCGTAATTCCTCGGTAGGCGGACTATGCGCTGTATGCAAGGAACAAGTCAACCTTGCTCTTCTTTCTGCAGACTTGGGTGATTCTACGGCACATACACGCTGCATAAGAGATACCCCCAATTTGATTTTTAATCGTTTTCAGGACCTTCAAATTCATATTGGAGAGATTGGAGGAATGACTGACATGAAGGTGGATTGGATGCTTGCGGACGGATCTATCGTGGGCACCGCCAACGATTCTCAACTGGTGATCGCCTTGGATTCTTTGCGGGGATTGCCATTACCCACAGAGATATGTGCTGTGATCACGGATAACTCCCCGTATATTCGTCCAAAATGGCGTGCGAAGCTTCTTCGACGAATAGCGTCATTTAGACTTGTTTCCGATACGTCATCTACTCCTGTTAACGTGAGAAGGTGTGGGATGTCGGAGGTGTGCAAATCGTGTCAGGGGCCTCATTGTGATGAGACTGTTCTTTCCCACCCGAATGTTATGAAATGGGCTGTGGAAGAAGATGTAAAAGTACGAAGAAACAGCTATGTGATTTTAGTTGCTGTATACAGCGGTGTTGCCATTGTTTTGCTCCTAATTGTGCTGGTGTTATATTTGCGCTGCTATTTAAGACGACCTCATGAGATATTTTTCAATCCTTGTATGGACAGAGTGAACCGCGGAGTACTTCTTATAATTTCTGTTATTATAACATGCATGTCGACGTTTACACTGGTATCAATTCCTCTCTTGGATGAGAATCATTTCATTTTCTTGAGAAAATTGTTTATTCCTTTTTTTGTAATGACGACTGTGACGTACCTGTTTTCGCTTTTGAATTTTGTGGCTGTGATTTTTCGTCTGTATATATTTACCGTAATTTGTGGTGCAGTGCTGCTGCTTATTGGGCTGTTTCACGCGGCATTGGGCGCGCTTTTGGGGCTTGCAGCAGGTTTTGTGGAGGACTTCCTAGTTGGTTACGCGGCGTCCGGATGGATGGAAACAGCACATAGCAACCCCAGTCAGATAAGTCGTGTTCAGTCTCACTTGAAATGCAGTGGATTTTTCGTCAGTTGCCTTGAAGTTGCCTCGTCTATATGTCCGGTTGGAAGTGAGAGTAACTTGCATGCCGAACCGTGTGCGACAGCCCTCCTGAAGGCTCTTTACAATATGCATACAGCTCTAACTGTGTCTATCTTCATCACGGGAGCCTTGGTTATTGTATGTGGACTCCTGGACTTTGTGTTCGTGCTGCGTTCGCTCCACCTGTCGAGGATGGGGAGGCGACGGCGGATGTACCGCAATGACCCTCACGCGGCAGTTTTGCCCTTGGTATTTGCGGAGGCAAGGAGGGCGCATCGTATGTTTTGCAGGAGTTTCAATGGTCACGGTAGAACATTGGAGGCTCAACGCGTCACTGGGTTTCTAGAAAGGGTGTTCGGCACAAAACTTAAGCCGGAGGAGAAAGGAATGCTTGAGGCTGAGGGCCCTTTTACCTTCAATGGACTCATGTCATTTTTTTTTCCTCACTTTATCACGTCACGAATGGACCCGCGTCAGTTAACACCGGAGGAGGCACACATGGCGCAAGGGGTGTTTGAACTGCAGTGCTTACAGTTCCAAAAACTCTGGAAGTTCGCCACAGCATCCGCGGCAATGTCGCCAGGGAAGCTATGCGGTCTGTTTCGTTTATACACACGTGATAACTTTGTCGTGGAACCGCAGGAATTGCTCGCGCTCATCAAGAAAGCGGCGGATACAAACTCTATAGAGGCTGCACTGTACCGGGGACTGACAACCTTCGAGCTTGAGGGGCTGCGTAATGCTTGGGCAGTGCTAAAACCAAACATTATAGGTGACTTGAATGATGAACAGATAGCTTTATTCTACCAATGGACACACCGTGATGTTCTCCGCGGGGACAACCATTTGAAGGAGTGGAAACAATCTCTGGACGTGCGTAGGCGCGGGCGCATTGGGTGGGGCGAATTCTGTTATCCCTTTGCCAAGCGTGCTCTTTTATGGAAGGCACGTGAGTTTTTGAGCAATATGGGGAAGGAGGTACCTCCAGAGCTGCTTAAAAAAGAGTTTGTACAGTGGCGATTTGGAAATACAGTGGTAAATGCTACTTTTTTGCCTTACGAAGATGAGATTCCTATTGAGCGCGTGCTCGAATATGTGTTGTCCCATGCCAAGGGCAAGCAGAGGAAACGAAAGGAATTGTGAGCGCGGGGTATAGAGAGGATGACTAATTTTTATCTTGTGTGCGTGTGTGTTTTCCGTTTGTTGGTTTACTTGCATTCTTTTCTTGTTTTTATGTTTTGTTCTCTGTTGATTAATACCACAATGTGCATACACCTTCTCCCCTTACACTCGCGATCACGCATGTGGAACACATACATGCGTGAGCACATTCATGAATTAACCCTGCCCAGGCACCCATGTTTTTTCTTCCTTGGCCCCTACGCATATGGTGTGGAGAAACGAGCCCTCTTTATAATGTGTACCTTGCTGCGGTGAATGAGACCGTGGTGCTGTGAAATAGATATTTGCCTTTTTAAAAAAAATATTATTCTGCTTTGGAGTTCCTGCGTGAAAAAAAGGTAACATAATAAGGAGAGGATACCCAAACCACAGCAACAAGTACTAGCAACTTGATGGAGACAGAGGGAGATGCGTCACCATCGTTGTTGTCGTCCCTTAGCACCAGACAATGGAGGCGGGATTGTATGGTTCTCTCCAACCAGACACAAAACCTTCTTGTTGCTATGCGCTCCAACGGAAGGTTTGGGCCAAATAGTCTCTTTGCAAATCCTGGTAAAATGGCTGAGACTTCCCTCCTACGCCAATTAAAGGCGCTTCAGCGTGAGATTATGGCACCAAATTTTGTGCGTCCTCTCCCTGAGGAAGCAATTTTGCAGCCATTCTGTGATATTTGTGCCTCTGAGGAAATGGGTGAGACAATTGTGGGTGTTGCGTTGGCGTGTTTGTCAAACCTCATTGATCTTCGATGTTCCTTTATTACAAGGAACGGTCTTGATATGATTCTACGCAGAATACATGGCGGCAAAAAGGAAGTAAACGACATTTTTCTATACGAGGTGGTACTTGGTAGAATGCTGCAGTTGTATGTGAGTTGTGCGGGTCACCCATCTGCGGCAGGTTTACCTGAGGGTTTGTATGTACAAATAGTACGACGTGCATATACGTTTGCAATACATCCGATGTTTAGTCCCCTGCTTCGGCGAACGGCTGAAGCAGCCATGAAGTCAATTGTTACATCGCTTTATACCATGATCGCGAATAATAAGCCTCATTGTCTCCCAGTTTCTGAGAAGACTGACACATCACTGAACGATGAAGCAGATGAAAAGGCAGACTGTTCTCTTACAGGAGCCGTTATGCTGCGTTACATTTGCACACTTATAAAAGGATCCGATAATGAGAATGAAACAGGACCGGAAAAACAACTCTTGGATTCAAAGAATGCATCTAAAACCGCTGCAGTGCAATTGGAGGGATTGTGTCTGGTACAGGCCATGTTGCTTGTGGTAAACGATCGTCTTTGTGACCCTGGGTGGGAGGAGCTACTTCATAGTGTGCAACATGAACTGTGTCGTGCGCTTCTCGTGACAGGGGTGAGTACTGAGAATACCATTGTTCTTTCTCAGATACTTCGAACGGTGCATATTGTGGTGAACATTGCTTCGACGCATGTGGTGCCACAGACGTTTTCTTTTATTCGAGCTCTTCACCTTGACCCCATCATGCGCATGACAGAGGAACTCCCTTCCGGCTCCTTATCGTCGGGAAAATTGGTTTCTTTGCCTTCCCTGGCGGCCTCACCGTCACTGCCTACTGGGCCTCAATTTCATCGGAGTTTAACGCAGCTGGCGGACCTCTATGAACGTCGAGAACTTTTATTGGAGAGTCTTGTAGAGTTCTGTGGAGATGCGGATTTTGCCACATTTTGCTACGCGCAGTATGACCTTTCGCGACGCTTTTTTCCTTTGTTTGATCGGCTGTGTGCAGTATTGGTGGAGAACTGTTTTTATGTGGCCAGCGATGCTGTCTCTGCTCTCCCGCGAAAGGGGGATCGTAGTGGGTCGTCTTCTGACTTTGCCTCGGAACAGTGCTTGATGCAAATGGACGCGCTTGCTTTAGCGGCAATGCATGCTCTCTTGCGTCAAACAGCCCTGAAAATTTCGAACCCGTTGCCACCTTCAGCAGAGTTGAAGTCGCTGATTAAGTCTAGACTGGAACAGAAGAAACTATTGATGAAGTTTGCTTTTCTTTTCCGACGTAACGCTATCAAGGATGGTATTCCATTTCTTCTTCAGAAGGCAACTCGGGTGTCCCCCGGGTCATCCTATCGCAATATTGCTGGAATTGGCGGGGTAAACTCGCCGGCCTTGGTACTTGCCGAACCTGCTGGTGGACGTGAGGTAGGTGCCTGTCTTTTTTATCTTAGTGATATTCTGGACAAACGTGTCTTGGGGGACTACCTTGGCGAGCTTGGCCGGGAATTGCCCGCACCAACGCCTGACGGAACGGAAGAAAGCACTGCAGCCCTTGCCGCCTGGAAGGCAAAACGGGAAACGGATCATTTACGGGCAGGAACTGTTCGTTTTTACGAAGAGCAACTGAAAGGGTTTCTACAGGAGTTTGATTATCGCAACAAATCTCTCTTACACTGCATTCGTGAGACAGCCTACCATATGTGCATGCCAGGGGAGGCGCAAAAGATTGATCGTGTCATGGAGGCGTTTGCAAAAGTGTGGGTCAAATCGAATTGTGATGCAGCAAAAGAAATTAATCCATTCCGTAGTGAGCAGGGTCCTTTTATTCTTGCCTTTTCCTTGATTATGTTGAATACGGATCAACACTCGGGTAAGATGGTAAAACCAATGCAGCGGGCAGATTTTCGGCGTGTGCATCGTGACAGTGATGGTGGTAATCGCCTTCCAGATGAGTATTTGGATCAGTTATACGACGATGTGAAGGCCCATCCAATTATTATGTCAGAAATGATTGATGTGGGTTTTACCAACGACGTCACGTGGGCGCTGGAAATGCGAGAACTTGCTCTTTCTGAGGAGGTGATCTCCACGGATGCCATATTGCGATGCTCAATGCAGGTGAAAAATTTAACTCCCAGGGACCAAGTTGTCGTTCAGGCCTTGCGTCCATTTGTGTTTTCTTCGTTGTGGAAGCATGCTCTCACGGCATTTGCCAACAGCATTTACACATGTAGTATCTCCCTTGGGCACTATCGTGTAGAGGAAAGAAATGTGGAGAACAGCGGTGCCAAAAGTGATTCTTCTTTAACTACAGCTGAAGAGGCATATAATCTGGCCCTTGATGGTCTATGCTTGCTAGCCAAGACCGCTACAGATTTTGGAACTGTGTCTGCCGTGGACCATGTTATACTAGTGCTTCTCTCACAACTCCCACTTGACATGCAAGATGCACATGGTTCATTGGTTTGTCTTGGTAACCGGGGCTACTCGTTGCGTTGTTTAGAAAAACTATTTTGTGTCCTTCGTGAGTGCCTGCTGGCGGTGACGGATGCCTGGGAAGAGTTGGGTCACTTTTTTGCTAAGTCCTTCTTGCTTGGTATTTTTGCGAGGGAATCTAATTCAGCCTCGTCAACACCCTCTGCGGCCGAAAGTACCGAGTTGTGGGAGGAACTGCGCTGTAATCCTGGGCTAGTCGGGACTGGCGTTAAGCGTACGACCTCTGAGGGTGGCTGGTTTGCGGCGTTGTGGGGCTCCTCTATTTCACCCGAACGCCTTAGGGCGCAGGAGTGCGAGGAACGACGGGCGATGGAGCGGGTCAAGGTGCTTTTTCCTGACATTGAGGAATTCCTGCGCATGATTGACGCGCTTGAAGAGAAGCCCAACTGGAACTTTTTTTGTGCCTTGTGCGAGGAGGCTACAATGAAAAGCAAAGGGGCTGCTGATAGTTATGCAGCCTCCTATACGATGATTCTCATCACGGAAGTTGCCATCCGCCGTTCACGGGATAGCTGTGTACTGGAGCGCTACGTGAAATTGTGTCATCAGGTCACAGCAAACATCTTTGCTATTTTTGACCAGCCGAACCCCACGCATTCATGCAGCACTATAAACAAAAAAACAATAATGGTAGCAGCAATAATCACAATAGCAGTGCTCGTGAGGTTGCTGAAGACTTTTCAGTGACTGAGCTTGGTCAATCGATGCCTGCTGAAGCCTACGAGTATTGGGTGTCTCTGGCAACCCGCGTGGTAAAGGCATTACTCAGGGCCCTAAAATATTTTTTACATAATGATCAGCAGCAGGAGATGGGGCTACGAATTTTGTGTCTACTTGCCGCTGCCCCTTTCAAGGTGTTTACAGCTGCAGTGGCTCCTTTACTCTCTGGTACCTTGCTGGAGTTACTCACTGAGCCGCAATATCTACCGCATGTACTAGGTCATTCACTCTTAGGGATGCTATTAAACGCACTGTGCACAATGGCAACTGCATGTGGTCATCCCCTTGTGCAGCAGCAAACGAGGAAAGCACTATCGACTATAGTGAAACAGGAGCGTTATAGCATTCTGCAAGATGGTGAGAATGTTGTACATGCCTTGGTAATTTGTGCCCTTGCGTTACCAGGTGAACGCGAAGTAGCCGTCAGAGCAGGAGTGCATTCAAGTGAGCCAGTTCAAGATGAGCCTTTGGAAAGTCTTGGGGATAACCTTACCATTATTTGTCGTCGTCTAGTCGCCATTCATGTTTTAGGAGGCACCACGAATGAGGATGCGGAGTGGCATCGTGGGTGGATTGCTTCACTCCGTGGTCTCTGTGCCTTGGTAGTGTTATCGCGCCAGTACCGCGATAGAAGTGAAGCTCTGTTATGCCTGCAGCGTTGCTTGCTAGACTCGGATATTGAACAACTACCCGTCACGGCCATTTCTATGCTTTACGAAGATATTGTTTTTCCACTTACTGAACAAATTTGTGCTCCATCCCCTACGGTGGCATCCACGCCGTCAGAGAGTGGTCGGACGCCTGATGATGTTGCCGTGAATCCGACTTTACCCCATACGTTTGTGACAAGTCTTTTGAGCTCATTTGCACCACAACCGACAACAAAGTCTGGGATAGGGGGTTTGGCAGGCCCATCCAATTCTACGAAGGAAAGAAATCAACAGGTTGCTATTGATTTGAAGTGTCGTGTTGTTGGTCTACTGCCCAAAGTCTTTTTGCATTACGTGAAATCCCTTGGGGAAACGCCAGAGGTGTTACAAGAACTGTGGCAACGTATCTTGGGTACTCTTTATGCTCTTTACACCACTCCGACACAGAATGCCTCTAATACCATGCCGTCTGATGCCCAAGACACGAAATGGATGGGGCGCGGAGGCGGTGTGACGGAGGACGAGGTCGTCCTGCGTGAGGCGATTCAAGAAACGGTAAAAAATATGATTTACGTGCTTGCAGCGACCCTCTCTGAACCTGCGTGTGAAAAGGCCATGCAACAGACCCCATATTTCTGGACATCCACCAAGAATTTGTTGCGTACCTTTGATTTTGCTGAGCCTCTTCTTGCCTACATTGATACGCTTGATCATTGAGAAATAATTTATTTTATTCTCTTTGATTTGGCCTGAAAATCCTGACAAATTGAAATAATCGATGCCCCCCCCCCCCCCCCTCGAGCGTTTTATCTTTATGGTAAATAGAGAGAGGTGTGAGGGTATCTAGGGAATTGAGAGAGGGAGTGTGTGCGTGTGTGTTTGCAAGGGCGAGAAGTATGGAGAAATGGTACGCTTGATTTTGTTGACTACCTCTTCCTCCGTCCTTCGCCTCCACCCCCGTTATTATTATTATTTTTTTTTTGGCGTTGTCGCTACTTTAACAGGTGCACCTCCGGTCGTGATGATGGGTAGTCGAGGCATAAGGGAGACCATTCAAGTAGAGTCTCTTGTGACTCTTGGCGACAAGTACCGCGTTCTGGCTCCTAGTTGCTCGCTTCGCGAGCATCTTACCGACAGCTACTGGTGCTCCGCGATGGAGGAGGTCTGCGAAGGCAAACTTATAGGTGTAGCCGTGCGTTACACTGGGCAAAATCTTGTCCTGATGCAGTTCATCCCGAAACAGGTTTCGCCTGCTGGCTATCGTTACCCCGTATCTATGTCTATTCCTGTGGAGTACCTGGTGCCTGTGGCGAACCGTCTTAGCACAGAAAGTCCGTCGATGGCAGGTAGCTTTCATTCTTCCCCTGAACTATCGGAAGGCACGGCGCACACAGATGGCGTCACCCGATTGTGTGTTGTTTGTGGGAGGTACAATGTTCCGGGTATGGTGCTACGTCGCCACGGCTATAAGTGCAGGGAATGCGTGGGGAAAAAATCGATCACAAACTTGCGCACTGAAGTTTCCCGTGCCAAGGAAGAAGTCAATTTCTAAGCAGGGTCAAAGATTGAGTGGAGTGAGTTTTCATGTGGCGTGACAGTGGAAAACAGTGCGAACAAGCGAGCAAACAATAAGGAAGAGAAACTGAATTGGGGTGGGTTGAGGTTAAAAGTATGGAGGAAAAGTGATTCTGTTCGAGTCTCCGTAAAGGAAGGACCGAACAGAGGGGATGGAATACATTGATGGACTGTCTCCGTCACTATTCCTTTGGTAGTCACGGTACATCCTTTGTTTTACACAAAGATATGTATAGATTAGGACGGTGTGGTCTCTTCATGCATACGTATGCGTGTATATCTTGTCAGTACTTACTCAATTGCTTGTATTTACTTCGCTACTTTTTTTTGCTGGTTTGCTGTTTTTTTTTTTTTTGTTGGTTCCGCGACTCGACAGCGGGGAAATCTGTCATACATTGCTGATAGACATCGTAAAATAACAAATTTAACAGCAGCAACAACAAGAACGAATACAAAATTATGCGACTCATATTGTTGTGTACTAGTGCTGTTTGTAGCGTGTGTGTGTGTGTGTGTGCTTTGAATCTTTTTTTTTTTGTTGTTATGCTTCAAGACTGCAGAGCCGTCGCTGTATCTTTATCTCTTCCCAGGTTTGGTTTGGTTTCCTCGCATAGGTGCGTTTTTGCCACAACTTTCCCTCAGACTGTGCCTGCGAATGGAGGCAGCACTGAAGGGAGAAACACTTCAAACCGGAACATCCTCATCCTCATCGTCGTTTGCGTCGCATGTAAACTCGCCCAACAAGCGGCATGTCCCCGAGAATGTGGTAATCAAGTCGTTCCCATTCGCTCGCTCCAACGCTTTCCCGAGCGACGTGGAATCGCCGAGCGCAACGTGGCTTGATAGATTTATGTCCACGTATTTTTTGTGTGAGTTGTGCCACAAGGTTGTGGTGGATCCCGTGCAAATTCTGCCAAGTGTCATGATGACGTGTAGAAAGTGTGCGCTTTCGCGGCAAGTTTCCACTGACGCCTTGGCAGAGTTGCCACTGGGTGTGGTGCAGGCGATTGAGGAAATGTACGAAACTCACAGAAGTCATCAAAAAAGCCATGTGCCCAATTCACCGGAGGCAGGGATGGTAAGTCGCGCCGGGGATGAGTCCATTGCGGGCCGGCGTATTGTACGAGTCAAACGCGACGATGCAATCCCAGGAGGCAAGATGGCACGACACGTGACTCCACATGCAGCAACTGCAGACTCTGTCAAGGCGGCTAAGTCAACTGTCTTTTCTCAGGAGCTTTGGGATACCGACGAGGAGGAGTTTCGTCAACGTGAAGCAATAAATGCAAAGGAGGCAAGCGAACGTTTGGAGTTACTGAAGAAGCATTCTGCGTTTGTGCGTTCCATTAAAGGCCGTAGTAGAGATAGCAGTAAGGCATTGAAGGCGGAAGCAGACGCTACATACGAAAAAGCGGAGTATACTCTGGCACTAGAATTGTACTCAAAAGCCATTGAGCAACAGCCCCTTGACCGCTTGACGCGTCTCAGTGCGCTGCACGGGAATCGAAGTTCTGCGTACTTCATGGCGCAACGCTACAGTGATTGCATTTCAGACTGTCTTAAAGCGATATCTCTAGAGCCTGGTAATGTCCGCATGTATACAAGGGCAGCGAAAGCGGCAGCAGTTATGGGAGATATGGCCCGTGCGGTTGCTCAAATGGAAACAATTCCAGAAAACTTGATGACAGATAGCGTACATGCTAAGAGGAAAAACTACAAGAGCGGACTTGAGTTGCTTCAACGCGCGGAGCGTGCCTTTGGAACACCCGAGGGAGATGAAATTTGGCTCATGTTGGTTGCCCAGTTCAGTGATACGATTCCATTTCGCTTGCGCTACGCTGAGTCGTTATTTAAGCAGAAACGTTATCTAAAAGCGGTAGATGCGTTAGAAGCGGTGTCATCCTCTCGTCGCTCACCAAAGCTGTGGTACATGATGGCAAAATGTTTGTACCTATCCGGGTTTGAGCACTTTGAACGGGCGCGTCTGTGCCTTGTCGATGTCCAACAGCTGGACGAGAATTGTGCCAAGTTACTGAAGCTGATCAACGTGGTGGACGAAGGTAAGCAAAAGGGTAACCAACTCTTTCAACAGAAAAAATTTGCAGCGGCCGTAGATCATTACACGTCTGCGATTAACGCTGCTCAGAGTAATAACCAAATCCTGCGCATCTTATACTGCAATCGTGCTGCAGCCCACAAGGAGCTGGGAAAATATCGAGAGGGTATTGAGGACTGCACAAACGCCATTCAACTCGATCCAGAGTTCTCGAAGGCATATGCCCGTCGTGCACGTTGTCATCAACAACTTAGCAACTTCGTGGCCGCTACTCGCGACTTTAAAAGTGCCATACAATACGATCCGAGCGACCATGAACTAGCGCGTGAGCTGCGTAACTGTGAACACGGCTTGACGAAGGAGGCAGAGCGTGAGAAAGATTACTACTATGTCCTGGGTGTGAGCCGTAACAGCAGCGAACGTGAAATTAAGCTGAAGTATCGCGAACTTTCCCTTCGTTGGCACCCTGATAAGTGTGTGGGGCTTCCAGACGAAGAACGGGTGCAGGCAGAACGCAAGTTTAAAATCATTGGTGAAGCCCATTCAACACTTATTGATCCTGTGAAGCGGCGTGAATACGAACTTAAGCTGGACCGCGAGCGCATGACACGTTTGGGTACATTTGCCGGATTTGGCACGCATAGCGGTGACACTTTCCGTGGACAGGCAAATCGCTATCGGTCTGGTCCAAGCGGCTTTTGGTGAGACAAGAGGGGGTGGACGAGTGCATATACGTATATGTATTTATATATCTCACGAGAAGCTAGGAGCGACACAACGCAACATGAATGAAAAGATAAAAATAGAAGAAGGAGAGGAAAAACAAAACAAAGCATAATTAGTATGCGTGCAGGAGAAAACACAATTTCAATTTAGAGGAAACGGTGATACATGAATCTCTCGTGTTATGGGTATCCGTAGTGCTACCGAGTTAAAGAAAAAAAAATTGTTTTTTTTTTTTGCTGTCACTATTGCCGTTGTTATTGCTGCTGCTTCCTTCTCACCACCACACGGCCATGGCGTCAGATTCAAATACGGGCACACCAAAATACGCGCACATCATATTTCGCCTTATTTTGGGTTTCCTCTCGTTGTTTTGCAGTTCTCCTTCTTACTGGTGCCTCTTTTGTATAGGGACCTCCTGAACGTCCCCACCTTCCACGTTGCACCGTTTTTATCGTATATCTCTCTTCCGGAGTAATTTTGTTTTTGTTTTTATGCGGGCCGTCGATGCTTTTCCTTTTTGAGTGCAGGGAACGCATGTGTGGGGGATCGTATGGAAAAACGCGTGGGTAAACGGGGGTGGGGCCTCTGGGGGCTGTTTGCGGAAATTTTGTCGTGCAGTGTGTGCGCTACGTGCGAGTGATGCTCAGCTTGACTTCAAAGCTGCGCTGACACCACTGAGTACGGCCTGCAGGTTTCTCTCTTTGCCCCTGCGTCTACAGCCGCTCGCATGTTGTTGTTTTTTTTTTGCACGGGTTGCTGTAGATCTGGGTGCATGCCACTTCTGTGTGAACTTTGCTCCTCGCGTCTTCCGTGAATGCGGGGGTCCAAAGAAAGAAAAGTTTGGCGGGGAATAACTAAAAAAAGGGGGTTGGAGTGACACCTTCATGAAATAAAAGACCTTGGTGACGGAAGTCGATGTGGGGAAAGCGAGAGGACCCTCAAAGGAAAGAGCAACAGAAAAAAGAACAGGCGTCAAGTAATAATTTAAAAAGAAAAAAAAAGAAAAACACGTGTAGACTGAGCATGCGTGAGTGTATTGCACTTTTTTTTTTTTGATGTTTCTGTTGTTGTCGTTGGTTGCCTTCCTCTTTGGTTCTCTAGTTATGTGTGGAGTTGGGTTTTGTTTTGGACATTAGAAAAGAAGAAGATGTAACCGCGGCACAAGCGATGTTCCCTTCCCCCTTCCGTCTCTATCTTTCTCTCACTCACGCACTCTCATTTGTCATTTGTACATATATAAATAACAACTAAGAGAAAAGAGGTAGGGGGAGGGAGGGAGGAAGGGAAGGAGAGAGGGGGAAAGTATACGGAACAAAGAAAGTACTTTGCGAGCAATCGTGTTTTTGTTACTCATCCTCTCCTTACAAAGCCTTCCCACTGCTGTGTCGCTTCCAGTGGAGCAGGAGGGTATTGTAGAGAACAGTTAGCGCCCTAATGAAGTCACTCGATGCGCCTTTTTTTCCCCCTTTTTTTTATTCATTTTGGAAGGGCTGGTAGTTCTTTTTGCATTATTATTTTGTGTTCGTTGTAGGCGTACGAGCAGTAAACCACGACAATGACTAATTCATTTTTTGCGCCCGTGATGCTCAGCTTTGGCTGGTGCATTTTATTATGTGGAATTATTTTTCTGCTGCGCCTGCGGGGCATTGAGGCCGCACTACGTCGCTTGAGGTCTGACGCGATAGAGCAACGAAACCCAACGGACGTGGCCTTGCAAAAGGATGCCAAGCGACCATTGCAGGTGGTGATTCTCCACCCTGACCTTGGCATTGGTGGGGCAGAGCGACTGATCATCGACGCGGCGGTGGCGCTACAAAAACACCAGCACGTTACCCCGATCAGTGTCACTATTGTAACAAATCACCATGATCCGAAGCGTGCATTTCCGGAGACCGTGGACGGCACCGTAAAGGTGGTGGTGAGTGGAGCATGGCTACCAGATCACTTTCTAGGACGCGCGAAGGTCTTTTGCGCAGTGCTTCGGATGACCTGGGCTGCCTTAATGGTCAGTTACTACTACCCTGACACGGACTGTATTTTTGTGGATCAAGTGGCCGCCGTGTTACCCTTGTTGCGCTGGATCGGGGTGTTTGTCCCATGCCTCTTTTATTGCCACTTCCCTGATCAGTGCTGCGACGCGAACCGCGAGGCGGATGGACGTTTTCTGAAGTCCATTTGGAAGGTACACAAATTATATCGGCTTTTTTTTGATAGGTTGGAGTCGCGGGCGATGTGCTTTGCTGACTGCATTGCGTCAAACTCAAAGTTTAGCAGAGAGGTGACGGTGAGGGTATTTCCGCAGCTTGAGTCAGTGATTGACGCAGAGGCAGATATCTTTTATCCTCCCGTTTCATGGGCGGCCAAGGTTGCCTCCACCGACGTGATTTCTGACATGGAGGATGATGAAGTGGCGACGCTGCGTAGACAACTGGAAAATCGAAGTGTGGTGCTCAGCATCAACCGTTATGAGCGGAAGAAAAATCTTTCACTGGCAATTGAAGCTTTTTCTGATGTAGTGGCAGCGGTCTCAGATGCCACCACGAATCCACCACTTCTTGTCATCGCCGGCGGCTACGATGCCCGCTTAAAGGAGAACGTGGAATACCTGAAGGAGCTGCAGGAGTTGGCGGCGCGCCACCACCTTACGGAGGATCAGGTTCTGTTTCTACAAAACATAGCTGATACGACCAAAGCGTATCTTTTGTCGAAGTGCTGCTGCATTGTCTATACACCGGCGATGGAACATTTTGGAATTGTGCCTACGGAGGGGATGGTGTGTGCCAAGCCTATCGTCGCTGTGAATCAGGGCGGTCCATGCGAGAGCGTCGGTGAGGGTGGGACGCTGTGTGATCCCACACCGGAGGCATTTGCGTCGGCTATAAAGGCGTATGTGACAGATGAGGAACTGGCAAAACGTGTGGGTGCAGCTGGACGACAACGTGCATTGCGGCTCTTTGGTATGGATGTCTTTGGTGAGAAGCTGGCAAGAAGACTGGTGACCTTATGGACAGCGAAGAACGAGCAGCTTAATTCAATGCAAGGCGGGGGGAAGGCTCAGAGTCAAAAAAGTAAATAGCACAAATAAATAATAAAATGATGAAGCATAAAACGTATTAAAAAAAAAAGCAACAATAACAACTCGCGACGCTGATAACCTTACTTGTCTAGAAACGAGAAATTGGCTCAGATGTATGCGTCTTGTCATTTCTCTCTTTTTTTTTTTCTTCTTTTGAGAAGCGAGGAGGAGATGGGTGAAGTGATGTTAGCTTTGGTCGTTTGTCCTGAGTTTTGTCACTGTTTTTTTTTTCCTTTTGTTTTCACTCACTCTCTCATGATTTGTTGCTCGCAAGTATGCATGTGTAAATATGTCTGCTCCAACGCTGTTTTTACCCTTTTGAGTTGTTTGGTGCTTTTTTTGCCACCTGCTCTCTTCCTTCTTTTTTTCTAGATTTTTTTTTTTATTCTGCGTTTTTTTGTGGTTCCTGCTTTTTTGGCACTCACTCACGTACATCCGGCCCCATTTTATTCTCCTGGCCTGGTCAGTATCGCGTTCTCGTTGAGTTGTGTGGCAATGCAGGGTGGACTTGGTGAGATCCTTCCCCTGATTCCGGCGTCGGTGCGTTCCTCAATTCTTGCCGATGCGTCGTGCAAAGAGGTTTGGTTTTGCGTCCCACCTTCACACGAGGTTATTTCTGTGGATGACCTTCGCTCCTCACCTAGCTCTGCTTTTGCTTCAAAGGTTGACACAACAGAGTGGCAACTTGTTTACGATGTGATGCGGGTGCATCATGGCGGCGTTATGTTTGAGCGAGATCATGTTCGTCGCATCTATGAGAGTTCTGTGTTTGCGGTTTCTTCGAAGCCTCTCAGCAATAAGGCAAAGCTGCGGTTCCCTGTTGAGACTGTGACGGAAAGCATTCGTCGTTACATTAGTAACCAACATGAGGGGAAAGGTGATATAAATCTCAAGTTTTTGGCTTGGCTGCCGTCCTCTTCTAACAGTTTGGGCAATGAGGCGGAATGGCAGAAATTATTGTGTGATATTCCCTACGCGCTGTATTTTGTAAAGTCCTTCTTCCCCCCAGATACATGGTATGCAGAGGGGACTCGACTTGCGCTTTTATACAATGCCCAGCGACATACTCCAAATGCAAAGATTGTTCAGGCGCCTCTCCGTTTACGTGCGAAGGAACTCCAAGAGAGCAGCGCTGCGTACGAGGTGCTGCTTGTGTGGGATAAGGCCGCACATTATCTCGTTCCGGAGGGTTCCCGTTCAAATTATCTCCTGATCACAAAGGACGATCGTCTGCTCTGTTCGCTGGAGGAGAATATACTTTCTGGCATTACGCTCCGAGCTGTGAAAAGAGCCGCCACCGCTGCCGGACTAACGTCCATCGAACACTGCCCACTATACGTTGGCGACCTCTGCACAGCAAAGGCGATTGCCATGTTAGGGACAAGTCCTGGCGTTCTTCCTGTTCGGGAAATTCAAATGTACTATGATGAGGAGAGTAAACTGAATTTTATTTCTGCTTTGGACGAGTATGAGCAGTGCGGAAAGGGGAGGGGGGGCTCTCTTCTGCTGCAAAGAGAGAAAATTTTGTCCAACGGCGGACTGCTGGAGCTGCATAGTGCCCAAAACATGACTTTGGAGCAACTACGCGAAGCATACAATGCGGAAGCCTTCCACTGACCCTCCGCGGTGAAAAGATACTCAAGACAAAATTTAGCCCAAACAAGGAAGAAAAAGCTGGGTTGGGCACCACCACCAAAAGGAATTTGACAGGCATGGTATAAAACGCAGCAGAAGAGAATGTGGTTTATGCAGTAGTGTGAAAAAAACGAAAGGATTAGCTTGGGGGGGGGGGGGGGGGGTGATAAAGCGTGTCGGGGAGTTTTAGAATAATGTTTTTTTTTTGTTGTTTTTGCTGTGGGTGGGTGGGTGGGGAGTTGAGAGTTGTGCGCATATACGCAGGTGTGTATGTTAGGCTGTTTAGTTATTACTTATTATTTTTAAGATTTTGTTTGTGTGGATTTTGGATTTGACTCGAACATAACAACTTTGGAGTGGTTCGAGGAGACTTAGTCCTCGGCAGGTACAACTCTATTTGCGCAGCTGCGTATGTTTCCCATGGATGTGTACACGCAACCCCGCAGTTGTCTTTGTTTGTCTTGGGACGGGAGACCATGCACAGTACACGTACAACAGCAACAACACCTCCGCCAGATCAACGAGAGACAAACACTCCTACACATTTGAAATAATATAAAAACAAGAGGAATAGAGCTGGATAGCCATAAAGAAGTGCTGAGTGGACGAAGAGGGGGTTTTCCTGCATTCTAGGATATATATATATATATATATATATGTATGCATAATTAGTGATGTAGTGAGCGGAGGGTAAGTGATCTGCAGGGGAAGCGGATTGGGTTGGATGATGATGCGTCAGTCGCGTCGCCTTCTCATGATGGAGGGGGAGCGAAAGTTCACCTTTCCTGGCACCCCCGCACCACACTCGACTGGTGGAGTTCTATTCTATGGTAATATTTATGCTGGTCGTGTGGACACGCAAAATTATGTGCCACCTATGCAGGACGGCTCAGGTCTTATCAAGCCAAAGTCTAGTCGCTGGGATGATCCATAGGTGCGTGCCAAGATGGAGCGTTGCCCATACTTTACCCTATGCGATCAGGTTTTGTGGCATAACATGGATCCCACGTATCTTGATCCCGGGCTTCTCACCGCGTAGGAGCATCAATTGTTGCTTCTTTTTAGTTGTGCCTACTCTGAAAAATGGAAAGCCATACATCTGAGTCCTCCCAATGCACTTCCGCGCATGCGCATCAAGTACTGTGCTACTCACCTTCTGGATGACATGTTAGAGTTGTTAGGCACCCCCGAAAAGGTGCGGCAGCCACTTGTGAAGGAGTTTCAACTCGACGATGCGTCTTTGATTGCCATGAACCCAGATTGCTGGGAGACGGCGTATCTTGATCCATTTAATAGAGATCACTTTTCTGGTCGTGTACTGGAATTTGCTGGCATGGACGAGCCTTTGCGTACACGGTTCTTTCTTCTCTTGCAGCAAATGCGCCGTCTCATCGTGGTACGAAAAGATACGACTGAGGACCAGCGTATTGTATTCCCGTTCACGGCGGGCGTCACGTTATTTGATCTCTACAAGCACTTGGGTCTTGACCCGTACAATGGACAAATGAAGATTTACGACTAGGTGGACCTGCAGCAGACAAAGCATCTGCTCACGCTCAAGGACGAGGACACCTACTTTGATTTGCTTGTGACAACTTTTTTCAAGGCAAATATGCGCCGTGCGACGTTGAGTGACGTTGCTGATGACACCGACAACACGGCACGCTACGCCATCACCGTTGAGCCGTGTGGTGTTGCGGAGAAACGCATCGGTCGATGGTTTTGATCTATTGATTTTGGCAGTGAAACTGTGAACGGTTGAGGGAGTGCATGTGAGCTCCCTTCGTGAAACTCCGTCACATAAATGCACAGCAGCGCAAGGAGGGATGCGGGAGATGGGGATCGTATTTCTTCCGGCTCGCACCATCCTAATGTTTCGCGCCAGAAGGGCGCATCACTCTAGCGTCCACTTTTTTTTTTTTACACGTTTCTGCGGCAATTATCTTTGCGGCACGTTTCCTTTTGTATCTTGTTTATTGGAGGACTTGTGTCTTTGTTGTTGCTGTTGTTTGCCTGTTTGCTTTTTGCCGTCGTGCCGTGATGGCTTCTCTGTTGTCTTATTGCTTCTTATTTCCCCTTTATTTTTGAGCATACCTTTGCGTTGACGACACTCACAGGAAACACCACCAGTGACTGCGGCGGGGAGTGGTAGAAGAAGGATACGAAGGGCAAACCGAAACTTTTTTCTGCAGTGCAAAAGAAGGAAAACTTACTGTAGCGGAGCTACGCAGCGGCTGTAAAGTCGTGTAGATTTGGTTGCAACAGGTGACGATACCTCTCAGCAGCCTGAAGTTGTTTGCAGCTACACCTCCGACGCATCTATTTTTTTATTCGTAGAACTGCTGCTACGCATACATATTTTCTGTGTCATCCATAGATACAGTCTTTTTTTCCCGACACGCAACTGTTAACGAAGCTTCGAGGACCTACGACTGTAGCCGCAGGGGAAAACAAAAGATAGAAAGAGGGAGGCGGAAAGAAGCAACACACATTCAGAAGAAGAAGAAAGAAAAAAAACGCCGACCGAAGAACGGGCATGTCGACAACACGTGCTGCTGGGGGTCGTCTGACGGCTCCGGTTCGTACTGCCGTTCCAGCAGCCCTGCCTCGCAAGCGTCGCTTTGAGCTGACGGATGAGCAGAGACAAGAAATTCGTGAGGCGTTCGAGCTCTTTGACTCGGACAAGAATGGGCTAATCGATGTGCATGAAATGAAGGTGAGTATGCGGGCGCTTGGATTTGACGTCAAGAAGGATGAGGTGCTACGCATGATGCAGGATTGCGCTGCGCGCGATCAACACAATCAGCCACTCATGGACTTAGCCGGTTTCACAGATCTGATGACGGAGCGATTTGCGCAGCGAGATCCACGGCAGGAGATGATCAAAGCTTTTCAATTATTTGATGAAAATAACACAGGGAAAATTTCTTTGCGTTCGTTGCGCCGTGTGGCAAGGGAACTTGGAGAAAACATGACCGACGAAGAGCTGCAGGCCATGATTGATGAATTTGATACGGATCAGGATGGAGAGATTAACCTGGACGAATTTCTCGCCATCATGTTAGAGGATGAAGATTACTAAACTCCCCACCACCGGCCGTGTGCATGGGGAAGAGGCACGAATAGACAAGCGAAACTGCATATGGTACAAATTACTCTGCTGAATTCCTCCACTCTCTTTTGAGGCAGCACGAGGAAAGCGTTGAACACGCAAATAATATCTCTCTGTGGGGTCACATATTTGTGTGCAGCTTATCTTTTACATGGACGTTTGTCTAATGAGGCTAACTCTACCTTTTTTTTTTTTTTTAGGTTTTTAGGGGTATATATATATATATATATATATT